TGCCTTCTTAGGCAAGTCACCTTCAGTTTTGTTTTTTCAGTTGCCGTCTCCTCCGTGCTGGCAAAGACGATTATGGTGGTAGTTGCATTTTTGGCCACAAAGCCAGGCAGCAGCATGAGGAAATGGCTGGGGAAGAGTCTGGCCAACTCTATTGTTTTATCCTGCTCTGGTATTCAAGTATGCATCTGTATCATATGGCTGGGAATCTTTCCCCCATTCCCAGATTCTGACTTTCATTCCCAACCAGAACACATCGTGCTGCAATGCAATGAAGGATCTGTCATCATGTTCTACTCTGGCCTTGGCTACATGGGTTTCCTGGCTGCCATTTGCTTCTTTGTGGCATTTCTGGCTCGAAAGCTGCCTGGTTCCTTCAATGAAGCCAAACTGATCACATTCAGCATGTTGGTTTTTTGCAGTGTTTGGATTTCCTTTGTACCCACCTACCTGAGCACTAAAGGGAAATATATGGTGGCTGTGCAGATCTTCTCCATCCTGGCCTCCAGCCTGGGTTTATTGGTCTGCATCTTTGTTCCCAAATGCTACATTATTATCCTGAGACCTGACCTGAACACCAAACAGCACTTAAGGATGAAAAACTATGAGACTTGTTGATTAATATAGCTTATTTTTTCTAAATAATCACTGTAACATAAAATAAAATAGTTGGAAAATAAAATCCTTTTTATGTGTTGTAAGAAATATTTCTGATCCTTGAGAGGCCTGGAATGCAATAATAGTATTTCTATCATGAAAAACTGTCAAGACTTAGTCAAGGAAAAAATCCAACTGGATTGACCATGCAAATGTTCTGAGTGTGAGGAATATGCTCCACAACAGCCATGTCATCACACTGAAGAGAAGGAATGCCAATGATGACAGTATGAGAAATATTTTGCTGATCCTTCTATAGTGGAACATTCAGTGGGCTCTAGGAGAACTCACCACAGCCAACTTGTCATGGGACAACTTGCCACAGGGTAGGAAGAAATGGTGGAATAGAATGATTGAAGAAAGAATGCCAAAGGAAGAACAAAAGAAAATGTGAATGACAAAAATTAAATTTTTATTATTTTAAATAATTAAATTGAATTATTGAATTGTCCTGCTGTGAATTATCCCATGGTGAGTTGACTGTGATGAGTAATCCTGTGGTGAATTGGCCATGGTGAGTTGGCCACAGTGAGTTCTTCCGTTGTGCATTCAGTGTGCCTTCCAGTGGGGGGAAATATTCTGTCTATCTCTTGCCTTTGTAGAAAGTTAGCACCCACCCCTCCTAGAAGAATGAAGTATTTTGAGAAATATTTAAAAAGGCAGAATATTATATTCCCCTAAAGGAGAAACCTGTTTCTAAAGACAGAAACTCAGAGGTGCAGCTCCCTATCCCCAAACAGATACTAAACTGAGGCCATCCTTTAGAAATGCAGATTTGGTAATCCATTACTCCCAGCAGCAAGGTCTGAACAAAGGTAGGGTTAGCTCTCAGCCCCTTCGTTGTATCACCCAGCAAGCTTCAACCAAGCCTGGGACACAGACAGCCTACAGAGTTAGCTATGACCCCTGCATAGCCCCCTGGGAGTCTGACAGCAACCAATAGAATACATGCCCTTGCCACAGGAACAGGAAGCTGCAGGGAGGCCTGCTAGGCCCAAAACAGGGCATGGAGAGGGTGGTTGCATGAACATGCATGGGGGAGCACAGGGGCCATGTGCACATGTGCAAGGGTGGAGCACAAGGGGGTGTCACGCATGCATTACATTATGCGCATGGGCACGCGCATGTGTGCTGTCGCGCACGGACATGTTTTCAGCAGACAAGGACAAAAAGCCATCACTGTCCTATAGATTTCCCTATGTATGTAACAGCCGGGAATCCACCACCACATTCACCCATTTGCAGCCCTTTTGTTTGTATGGCAGGGGCTCTTGAGGGGTAACATACCCTATTTGGAAGAACAGCTGAAAATCAATTAATGGGATTTTTGCTATGGCTGGATGAAAGCCTTTCAGGGTAAATCAAAGAACATCTCAGACAGGTGGTTGCCCAACCAGTGTGTAAATACATCCAGTGAAGCGGGAGGTCACTACATTTGTAGAATTCTTGACTTTACACTTGTGCTTCCCATGTATTATACTAACTACATGTATTATAAGAGACAAGGGGGGATTAGAGTTGTCCCTGCATGTTTATGCTCTGGTTAGTGAAAACATTTAGAGAGCTATAGAAAATGTTTAGTCTTTTGGGAAACAGATTTCTGCCTCACCATGTCCTCCATAGCAGTCTTCTTGTGATGGCCATGAAAAGCTTACAGACTTCTCAATTTACCATTGAGTCAAAATCATACAGAGTCTATCCTGTCATATAGGAATATCTGGGGGAAATGCCCTGCTTTTTATGAAGACCATGACTGTTGCTGGTCTTCTCTTTTGCAGAAATGAGAAGATTTCATAATAGGTGCCTCTTGCCAGAGTATATTCATGAACTGGAATAGGGCATAGCAACAAGGTCAGCCAATGAGAGCTGAAACACTGGAAGGAAGGAGAAAGAATGGAAGGAGAAGGAGGAAGATGGAANTCAAAGTCTCTCTCTCTCTCTCTCTCTCTCTCTCTCTCTCTCTCTCTCTCTCTCTCTCTCGCACACACACACACACACACACACAAACACACACACACACACACTTTCTTCCTTATCACCTTTATCATCTCCTGGACATAGTCCCCTATCTCTCTTCCTTATCACCTTTATCATCTCCTGGACATAGTCCTCAAGTCATGGGCCAATTTACAACAATAAACAACTGACAATATTTCCTACATTGCAATGTAGTAAGAGTTAGCATTTGATAACCTCCCCAGCCCTTCATCAGATGACCCAGTTGAGTTTTTAGAATGAGCCATGATCCCATCACTCTTCCATTGATTTCAAACCAGATCTTTAACAGTCCAAAGTACATGTAAACGATAGAAATATAACTGATGATTCATAGATTCCCTTAAAAGGCTATCCAAAATATCCTTTATGACCCCCCCCCCAAAAAAATCAAACCAAAAATGAACACCTATTAATATATCTTATCTTGCAGTAAGTTTGTGAGTTTTGTTCATGTCCTGCCCTTTGTCTTTGCCATTCATGAGATCAACCAGAATCCAAGGCTCTTACCAAACATGACTCTGGGCTACAACATCTATGAGATCCTTTTCAATGCAAGAATAACATACGATGCCATGATGGATTTTCTATCCATGGGACAGGATAACGTCCCAAACTACAGTTGTGGAAGACCCAAAAATCTGTTGGCTGTGCTTGAAGGGACTGATTCTGAGCTCTTTAGTCATGTTTCAAGCATGCTGGGCATCTACAAAATCCCTCAGGTATGAATGAAAGTTCAATCTAGGTTTCTTAAAATAATACTTTTCCATTATGGACCTAAATATTTATTTTTCTCCATTCTGGCATCAGTTTACAGCATAGCTTTTGAAAGACAGACTGACTTTGCAGAGTTCCCCTTTTTACTGCTGAAATGGATTCAGACTATCCAAGGAGAAATTTTCTGATAGTGAGAACAATCAACCAATGGAAGAGAAGTTTCATCACTGGAGGCTTTCAAGAAGAGACTGGATTGCCATCTGTCAGAAATGGTGTAGGGTCTCCTGCTTGGGCAGGGAGTTGGACTAGATGACCTACAAGGTCCCTTCCAACTCTGTTAATTTGTTTATCTGTCTATCCATATATTAACTGTAGTGTTCTCAATGACATATGAAAAGCACGACTTTGCATTTGGAAATAATTTTAAATTAAGCAGTCATATTGGTTGCTAAGAGCCAGATAACCACTCATCTTTTCTATTTCATCTTAGATCAACTATGGGGTTATCAATCACATTTCTGGGCAGAAACAGCATTTCCCTTTTTTCTACTGGATGAGTCCAAAGCAAGAACCTCCTCACTTGGCGATAGTCCAGCTGCTCCTGCATTTCCAATGGACATGGATTGGCCTGGCTGCTCCAGACAATGAAAATGGAGAAAAGTTCAGAAGAACCTTTACGGTTGTAGCCATGAAGAGTGGGATTTGTATTGCCTTCTCAGAAATCCTCCCTGTGGTCAATAAAAAGAAAACAAAGGGCTCTCTTCACTATTTTAACAACAGCCATGTAAATGTTATTGTTTGTCAATTAGATTTTCAGGCCTCATTTATATTAACAATAATAATACACGATATTGAAAAGACTAATGAAATGTTTGAGGGAAAAGTATGGATTGCAACAGCTTTGACAGACATAGGTGTGAGATATTTTTATCGATTTGTTAATCTTCAGCATAAACACTTTTTGATATCCTTCTTAACCCAGACAAACCGAAGGACACGATCTTATGATTTAAATTCGTATTTTTCCACTCTCAAAAAGTTTGTGAAGACAGCATTTCAGAGTTCCTATTTGAGCCCTGTGTTGTCAAAGAGAATTTGGGGAAGATGCATAGAAAAAGAGAACTGGGAAATGCCACCTCACAATGTGGTTGCAGACATTTTGTCTGAGGACAGCCACAGTATTTCCACTGCAATCCAGGCTGTCTCCTTGGTGCTTCATGCTGTGCGTTCCTCTCGCTTCCATTTTCCTCAAGTAGTACAGCCATGGCAGGTATGATTTTCTTTCCATGGAATTTTGACAATCCATTCAATTCTTCAGTTTCATAATGGATCAGAAATAGTGTGAATACAGAGTGGGGTGCTGTACAGTTTCCCAATTTCTCATGTATGTACTTTGTAGTCTATGTAGTGTAAGAAGAATGAGAGAGTGAGATTTCTTGTATCTACCTGTTTTAAATTGAATTGTGCTAGTTCAGGATTCTGTAAGAAAAGGGAATCCTGCCTCAATAGAGAGTCCCATTCCATATCCATAGATTAAATAACACCAGGATGTCACAGTAACTCTGATATTCTCCTTGATCATCCAACCTTGACTTTGTCGACTGTGAAGATATGGGCAATTCAAATCTATGCCTCTACTCAATATCTTCAGGAAACTACCAAGTCAATTGCTGAAGTTCTTCTCTTCCTTCTTACAATACAGAGAGTTGATGTCGGGGGACGGTTTCTTTCAGAGGACATAGACAAGGGGATGAGGAACAATCCTTTTTTAAATATATTTTTATTGTTTTTACATTTAAAACAGTGTAGCACCCCGAAGTCGTAGTAACCATACAATCACATTATATACAGATTATCTCATCCAATAACTGTTAGCCTACTTAATACATTATCTATCCATCTATCCAATCACATTATTTACAGTTTGTTCCAGTTGTCACCTTGTTTTATACCAATAAAAAAGTATGTTCCAAACTTCAAAATATTCTGATTCCCCTTTATTTTTTAATTCAAGGGTGAGCCTACTTGCTTCCACACAGGCCAAAATTTTCCTAAATGTATCTACCTCTGATGGTGTATTTTCTTTTTTGCAATACTGCGCATAAGTTATACATTCCACAGTTAGTACATGTATAATTAGAAAAAGCACATCTTTCTTATAC